ACATGAACTCACTACATATCCTATAACACACTCCAGAATCTGCTGTACTGCTCTGGGATCCTGGGGCAACCACTTCAGAGTTGGTTTGCAGAATGTTTGATAAAGGAAGTGTCCTCAAAAGACAGAAAAGACAAATCCAGGGATTACTAGAAGTGGGCCTGCAGTTTGAAAGCCACTGATATGCATAAAGACTGATATTTAACCAGCTAAAAGCCAAATTAATCAGCAATCCATTGTTTTTATATCATTCAAATTCCCTCCTTTCTGGTTTGCCTAATAGAAGTTCACTATCCTTTTTTTAAAAGAGTCTCTTAGATCAGCCAATCCAGTTATCAGCAACAAGGAACAGCTATCAGGGATAATAAATTGCTAGTTTTCAGAACACTGTCATGTTAGTGAAGACCCACTGGAAAGTGGAGGGGGAAATCAATTGGATTTATTGAATATCCATGCTCATCACACACAGATGTTACTGTGATTGGTGTTAGTGCACTCAGGTAGCCTTAAGGATAAATTTTAACTGTGTGAAAGATCCCCTTCAAACTGCAGGCCCACTTCTAGTAATCCCTGGATTTGTGGTGTGAAACCTTAAAACCTGTCCACAGTGCAGGAAAATGTTTCTTCAATGCTAGCACAGCTTTCCAGTTTTCTGCAAGTCTAATGAAGAGGCTGAGGGCAGGGCATCAATTCCAGAATTTGTTGCAAGAGAAGAGAAACAGGCCTTCAGCTGCCAGACAAATTTTGGTTGTCTACATTTGTGCATGATTCACACTAGCAAGGGGCTGTCCCTCCAATGTATCAGGAAATGGAGCCACATTTGGGCCTATTGGCTACCACTGTTCCTTTCTGTCCTGGAAACTTACTATGGACTCTCAACCCATGGCTCTTGGGCCAGTACCACTCCACAGATTCCCCCCCCCTTTGAAAAGCACTGGTCTATACCACACAAAAATTCACTTTAAAAAAATCTTGGTATGTTCTTACAATCCCAAAAAAAGCCACCAATTCTTTTGTCTGAGGACACAATCCTCTGTCCCAGGAGAACTGTCAAAGCACCAATCTCAGGGGTCTCTCACATTGTGTGAGTGCTGGTCTCAGGAATAAATGTGCAACCATAAGGCAGAAAGCTGAAGATCTACTCACTGCCAGATTCAAGAATGACATATGCACAAGAAAGTGATACAAGAGCAGAAGTAATAAGGCACATATGTGCCAAAGTTCAAATAGGGACTGGATTGTTCTAAATAATGGGAGATTTCCTGGTTTACTGCTAATATAAAGCCAACCCAACCAAAGAGAAAAAGCTCTCCCTTAGGACAGTACCATTCAGTATACAGTAGGAGGGAAGATTGCATGTTATTTTGAATTCATTATGCATGTGAAATGCCAGAACGTTATCCAAATCTTCTCTTTGGGGTGTAAGCAATAGCAGCATGATTTTATCCATGAGTCAGCATTCACAAAGTGGTATCTTAGAAGGTCTTGTTTTCTGAAGATATAAATCTGAATTACAATCTGTTTCTGGTTGGAAAATGTGTCACATTTCTTCTTATAAATGATAAATGTAGAATTACAACAGAATCACTAAAAAGACAGTACAATCATAGAATTTTAAACATATTTTAAAGTTTGCTCCTTTACTGCATTGTTCATGAATCATTCATAATAAGTCTCTTCCTTTAGAGATCACATGAGCTGGCTTACCTGGATAGGCCCCAATCCCTGGTCCTGAATGGCTAGTCCAAGTGTTTCTAGAATGGAAAGCCCATGTAAATCCTGTTGATGTATCATGCGTCCAACCACAAAGATCTCCAGGAAGATCAAAGTTGCAGTTGAATCCTACAGGGATCTGGAAATCTTACAAGAAGAATAGAACAACATAAAAATGGCATCAAAGAAAGAGCAGGCACATAGAAATACTACCTAATAACTAACATAGCTGACAAATCATAAATAGTTAAGGAAGTATGAAGTCTCTGGCATGCACACGTGCGTGTGTGTTCTCTCTCTGGCTGCCTCATGATACTTTTAACATGTCTCATGTTTCAGAAGCAGATCAGTCTTAAGTTCCAAATCTACAAAATGTACATACCCACATCCCTCAGCTAAGCAAATATGAATGAAAGCACCAAATGCTCCCATTTTTCTCTTTAACACTTTTCTTAAGTGTAAACCCTGCTAATCAGTGATGAATTGCCATTTTCTCCACCTGTGCATCATGATAGTGCTGGGGTAGGCAACCTTTCCCCTTTAAGGGCCAAGGGACTTCAGCTCCCAGAAGCCTCAGCCATGTTGGCCAATAGTCCCATGTTGGCCAATAGCTCCTGGGGTTCTGAGAGCTGAAGTCCCTCGGCCCTTAAAGGGGAAAGGTTGCCTACCCCTGCAATAGTGTAAAAAGATAATGATGATGATGATGATCAAGAATAAGAACCCAAAGAAGTGTTGACATTTATAGATTATAAATAATCAAACCAATAGGCAACTAGATGACTAGAGTGGGGTTGTTCTGTCAGGGTTGTGTCTTAAGAAATGTTGACCACAGTTTTAAAAATTATTATAGAGTCGTCCCTCATTTTTGTGGTGGATCTGTTCCGCCCCCCCCCCACATGAAAACAGAAACTTGCATATATTCAAGCTCCATTTGTTTGAATGGTTGCACGCTCCTGCACGTGCACCATTTTAGCCAATAGGGCTCACCCCTCCATGAATAATTGAAACCACGGACATCAAGTCCGCAAAAACAGAGGGGTGACTTTATATGTTATTCAGAGCTGTATCTCAGGGCTGTTTCACATACACAATAAATACCTCACTATGAACATGATCAAACTCCAATGAATTCTGTTTTTTCTAAGGATCTAACAGACAGCTTGAAAGCTTTATTGGTAGCATTCATTCTCAGTTAGCTGTTTCATATCTGTTGTATTGCAATAAATGAACAATGAATGTGAATGTGTAAAACTCACCATATGTGAGTTCAAATCAATGGGCTTTAATGCCAAAGGGAATGGCTTCAATCAGGGATGGGGAACTTTGGCCTCTGGGTATTATTGGACTACAACTCCCATTAAGACTCTTAACTATGTTGGCTCGAACTGATGGGACCTCAAATCTACACACATTTTACCACTCCTAGTTTGAATCCCATTGATTCCCAAGGCATTTGGTGTTCACAGCCTTTTCTGTATTGTGCTTTGAGTTCAGCTGTGTTCCAGAAGACTTAGGGCAAAAGGCCCTCCTAATATTCTGCATTCTGGCCTTGGATTTCCCTGATGTATACAGTTTATCGAAGACTAAAAGGAGCTTCATTTGTAAAATGTGAGTATATAGAGGGAAAACTGCTTCCTTTATAATACAAGTACAGGCAAATAAGAAGAGCAGCAGAAAACATGAAAAGTAATCCTCATATTACTTTTTCTAGATGTGGAATGAATCCTGAAACTGGTTCCTATGAAAACCTGTGTAGGTACACCTTTGCAATAACTGAAAATAGGAGGGGGTCCTCCACCGATTTCATGCTAGTTGCAGTGCTCTACTTCACAGGTCAACCAGGAAGCCAGTTTTATCTGCATTTCTATGCAAAATTGTGGTTTCCCATGGAGGTGGGTGAGCATACTATGATTTATAGACACTCATTCAGTTTATAGGAGGAAGACTTAGGGCCGATGCATTTGGCCACTAAGGAGCAGCTCTGTGCTGCCCCTGGGAGTGCCGGATTGGGATCGCAGCAATCACACCATGGCCCCGATCTTTCTTTTTGCCACTCCAAAAAAAGCTGGTAAATGTTGTTCCTTTCTGGGTGCAGTGTGTGTGTACGCTGTGCCAACGGGATGCCCTGACACCAACTCCACCCCCAGGCCAGCCCTTTAGTGTCCAAAACTGGCCATTCTAGGGAAATGGAAAAGAAGAAAGAATATGAGAATTCTGGATGAACTTTCACATTGGAAGACTGAAAGAGAAACTGCTATACATTTGTCCCTCCCTGTTCGTGGACTTGGAGTCTGTGGTCTCACTCCTTCATGGACAGCAAGCAAGGAGGGACAAAATGGCGTGTGTGCCTAAAGTGTGCACACAGTGCCACATGCAACAGCATGTGCCTATTTTAACCAATAGGTTTTGAATATTTGCGTTTTTTTCCAATGGGGGGGCGGAACAGATCCCCCGCGAATCAGGAGGGACAACTGTACTTTATTCCAAGCAACAATAGTGATAGCATCCCTTCAAACCAGGCAGGGTAATTCAGGACAAAACACTGCAGTGCCAGCTGCAGCTTATTTGAAGTTTTTCTGAATCAGGAGGAAGTTTTAAATCACCAAACCTACACAGATAATGATCACTAATGCAGAGGTTAAGAACCTGTGCATGACAGCCGTCAAGGCAGCCATTAATATAGAAATGGAAACAATCCTCCCAGGTTTCAAAAAATAACATTCATGATAATACTCATAACTAATACTAATAATGGACATAGTTCCTTTGGATTTATGATCTAATCTAATTATCCTCCTGAGAGAAGTATTGTTTCTTCCAGACTACCATAAATCTGACTGTCCAAAGAAATGTGAACCATTGTTTGCAGAGCCTGAAAAGGGAAACCATAGCTAAATCAAATGTTTGTGGATTCTGAGAATGAAAATCACAGCTAGATCAAAGCAAAACAATCTAAACTATCCACAGCTATCCTAAAATATGTAATTGGTATAAACTACTAGCTTATTTGTAAAGGATAAAATTCCATAGTAATTCAATGAAAAATAAGAGATTAAGACTGATTTCACATGAGCAAATAAACTTGAGGTCTGGACTGTTTCTTGAGACTGCAGGTGGGGTATTGCTGGACAGAATGATGTTGCTGCTGTGTGCCTTCAAGTCATTTCCAACTTATGGTGACCCTATCATGTGGTTTTCTTGGCAAGTTTCTTGAGAGGTTTCTTCTTGCCATTACCATACTCTGAGGGTGAGACAGTGTAACTTGTCCAAGGTCACTTAGTGGATTTACATGGCTGAGCTGGGATTAGAACCCTGTTGTCTGGAGTCAAAGTCCAATGCTCAAACCACTAGACCACACTGGCTCTCACAGAATGATGTGTTTATGAATGATTATTTATGAAAATAAAAAACCCTTCACAGAGAAAAGCAGCATGTCAGGAAGAAGCTTACAATGAAACGTGCTAATATAAATTATCCAAATAATGGAGATCAGGCCTCTTGCCACAAGGGTATCTATGGAGGCCCAACCCCCCAAAGATCTTTCTGGCTTTCCTTTCTAAAGCAGAGCTGGTCATTGGGCTGCACTGTTCTGACTTGCACATGCATTTATCTCCTGGTGGGAGATGTGCAAACTATTTAATAACATATTTGTAACTTCCATGACTCAACTATTTTTCCCATTTCACTATGAGAATCACCTCTTTACACTCAGGTTACCCCAACTCAAAATTTCTAGGGATGGGCTGATGAAGATTGCTCCCAGTACATTTGAGTAAAGAAGAAGAGAAGTGAGCTTTCTCTTGGAAGCTACCAGAGACAATCTCTGGATAGAACAAACATAATTACTTCAGAGTTGGTCCTCTTTAAAAAAAAGAAAAAAGGGACAAACACCCACCCATAACCATACAGCAAATCAATGGAGCATTTTGTGAAGTCATTCACTTCTTGATAGTAAATAAGCTCAGACTTGTGTACAGCCCTCTCTACATCTTTGGCTGTCACTAGTAATATCATTCTGCAATCCCCAGTTCCCTTGTCTGGGAAACTAGAGGAGAAAGAAGAGCAATCACTTAGCTGCAAATGCATTACTGACAGCAATATGACTGGACTGGCCAAACTGCATTTCAAGATAAATTTGTGGCTCCCTAGTAGTGCAAGCCTGGCCCTTATCCAACTCACAGAAGATGCAGCTCAGGGCAGAGAACTATCTGGCACCCCTTCTCTCTCTACTGGTCAAAAAGAAGGGGAAGTAGGAGGTAGAGCACATAATGCTATACTTCCCGCAGTCATGCTGCCAAAAATGGCACCATTCCTTCTCTACAGTAAATATCTCTGTAATCCCCTATTGTTGGATTTGGATGCTCCAATTGCTTTTCTGATATGAGCCTTAAGCCCTTACCAGCACAGCAGACTATTGTGTGTATATGAGTGAGTGAGAAGGGTCACAGTATGAGCCTGGTGCCTGATGTATAAAGTACTGCATGTCACTAGGTATGTGCAATTGTATGGGTGTAGTGACCTTGGGCAACTCACTCTTTCTTAGCCTCAGATGATGCCGAGGCTGCCGTCTTGGCAGGCAGGCAAACCCTACTCTGAAAAAACTTGCTAAGAAAACCCTCTGATAGGTTTGATTTAGGATCTCCATAAGTCAGAAATGGCATGATGGCACATAGCAGCAGCAGCAATAACAATGTGTAGACAAGATCCTAAAGTGCAAAGATAGAACTTTGAACACTAAAGTGAGGATAGTCCAAGCCACCGTATTCCCTATCACTATGCACATGTGAGAGATGGACAGTGAAGAAAGCTGACAAAAGGAAAATCAACTCATTTGAGATGTGGTGCTGGAGAAAAGTGTTAAGAATACCATGGCCAGCCAAGAAGACAAATTAAGTCTGAACTCTCATTGGAAGCCAAGATGATTAAATTGAGGCTGCTGTACTTTGGCCACATCATGAAGAAAAATGAATCATTAGAAAAGACAGTGATGCTAGGAAGGGTAGAGAGCAGTAGGAGAGGAAGACCAGCCACCAGATGGTTAGATTCGATCAGGGAGGCCATGGACCTAAGCATGCATGGCCTGAGTAGAACAGTTGAGGACAATTAATCTTGGAGACATCTCGTTGATGGAGTCACCATAAGTCAAGGTTGACTTAAGGGCAGTAACAATAAAGGAGTGATTCCCAAATTGGGCAATATGCCCCTCTAGGGGTGATTCAAAGCTCTGGGAGGCAGTAAGGGAGAAAGAGGGTGGCAGGGGGCTTCAGAAGTCACTCTCTTCATAGGCAAATAATATAAGATGCTGTCTGTTCCTGGGACTGAGCAAGTCTAGCAGATCAGACTTATTGGCAATGGCCAGCAACACCAGCTGCTTTGGCTGTAGCAGGGGACAGGTCTGGGGGTCCCTTGAGACCATAAGTTGGACAAAAGAATGCTAGGAAGCAGGAACAGTTTAGCTAGAGAATCTGAAAGGGGTTGTGGGGGAAGCTGAAGATCTAAGGCAGGGACAGGCAACCTTTTTGAGACCTGGGCCGGTCTCC